CCCCCCCCCCCCCCCAGCTAACAACTTAAACTGGTACTTCACAAAAGAGTGTATCTAAATGGCTAATAGGCATATATTAAGTACCATTAGTCAACAGGAAAACAGAAATCAAAAACAGCAATTAGAGCCCTGCCAGGCATGGCTCAGTCCTTGAGCGTTGACCTAGGATATAGGACATCCCAGTTCGATTCCTGGTCAGGGCACATGCCCAGGTTATGGGCTTGATCCCCAGTCGGGGCGTGCAGGAGGCAGCCGATCAATGACTACTGTTTCATCACTGATGTTTCTCTCTCTTTCTCTTCCCCCTCTCCCTTCCTCTCTCTGAAATCAATAAAGAAAAAAAAACCACCCCAAAACAGCAATTAGATACACTACACCCACCCAAGAAAGGCTAAAATTAAAAGGGTTAGTAATACCAAATATGAGTGAGTTTGTGGAACAGATGAAATACAGACTGGTATAACCACTATGAAAACCTGTTTACCAGTATCTATTAAATGGAAAAAATATGTATTACCTGTGACCCAGCAATTCTATTTCTATGTGTATTCTTATGAGAAATGAATATTTTGTTATCAGAATACATGCACAAAATGTTCAGTGATCCACCCCTGAAAAGTAAAGGACTGTCGCTTGGGGTGTTAATTCCCCCACATTTGCAGTTTTGATCACCCACAAGTGATCATCAGCTTCTCACAGGTGTCCAAACCACATCATATAGCCTTAGTACAACAATGCAAAAGACGTGCAGTGCAGCTATAGCTAGGTTCTGTTGTCTTGCAGTTGCTGGGGTGAAAGTGGGCCGAGAAAATGTGATGCAGGACAGAAGAGGTGCTTGATACAAGCAGGTTTTTATGAGCAAACAAATAAAAAATATAATATATGCACAAAATCAGTCAATTTTTTGATAGGAAATCTTCAATAGGCCAGTCTATTGAGGACCTCTTTAACTCCCAGTGACACTCAGTCAAGTATAGACATTCACAAGCATCAAGTTACAGCTCTTTAATGGTGTCAAAAGAGAAATTCCTGTGAAATTCTATGTTTCTCACCTTCACCCTATTCTGAATTAAAAACCCAGGTTCCTGATGTGCAGCTGTTCACCTGCAGTAGCAGCTGTTCATCTGTTGGGACCGTTATGT